CCCCGGCCCCGGCGCGGCCCTGGGGGCGGATGCCTGGATGTGGATTTTGCCGTGGGGCCACCAGGCTGTTCCCACGTGAACAGCTTTAAGGTGGGAGAGAACTGGAGGCAGGAACTGCGGGTTATCTACCAGTGCTTCGTGTGGTGTGGAACCCCAGAGACCAGGAAAAGCAAGGCAAAGTCGTGCATCTGCCATGTGTGTGGCACCCATCTGAACAGACTCCACTCTTGCCTTTCCTGTGTCTTCTTTGGCTGCTTCACGGAGAAGCACATTCACGAGCACGCCGAGACGAAACAACACAACTTAGCCGTAGACCTGTATTACGGAGGTATATACTGCTTTATGTGTAAGGACTATGTATATGACAAAGACATTGAGCAAATTGCCAAAGAAGAGCAAGGAGAAGCTTTGAAATTACAAGCCTCCACCTCAACAGAGGTTTCTCACCAGCAGTGTTCAGTTCCAGGCCTTGGCGAGAAATTCCCAACCTGGGAAACAACCAAACCAGAATTAGAACTGCTGGGGCACAACCCGAGGAGAAGAAGAATCACGTCCAGCTTTACGATCGGTTTAAGAGGACTCATCAATCTTGGCAACACGTGCTTTATGAACTGCATCGTCCAGGCCCTCACCCACACGCCAATACTGAGAGATTTCTTTCTCTCTGACAGGCACCGATGTGAGATGCCGAGTCCCGAGTTGTGTCTGGTCTGTGAGATGTCGTCGCTGTTTCGGGAGTTGTATTCTGGAAACCCGTCTCCTCATGTGCCCTATAAGTTACTGCACCTGGTGTGGATACATGCCCGCCATTTAGCAGGGTACAGGCAACAGGATGCCCACGAGTTCCTCATTGCAGCGTTAGATGTCCTGCACAGGCACTGCAAAGGTGATGATGTCGGGAAGGCGGCCAACAATCCCAACCACTGTAACTGCATCATAGACCAAATCTTCACAGGTGGCCTACAGTCTGATGTCACCTGTCAAGCCTGCCATGGCGTCTCCACCACGATAGACCCATGCTGGGACATTAGTTTGGACTTGCCTGGCTCTTGTACCTCCTTCTGGCCCATGAGCCCAGGGAGGGAGAGCAGTGTGAACGGGGAAAGCCACATACCAGGAATCACCACCCTCACGGACTGCTTGCGGAGGTTTACGAGGCCAGAGCACTTAGGAAGCAGTGCCAAAATTAAATGTGGTAGTTGCCAAAGCTACCAGGAATCTACCAAACAGCTCACAATGAATAAATTACCTGTCGTTGCCTGTTTTCATTTCAAACGGTTTGAACATTCAGCCAAACAGAGGCGCAAGATCACTACATACATTTCCTTTCCTCTGGAGCTGGATATGACACCGTTTATGGCCTCAAGTAAAGAGAGCAGAATGAATGGACAATTGCAGCTGCCAACCAATAGTGGAAACAATGAAAATAAGTATTCCTTGTTTGCTGTAGTTAATCACCAAGGAACCTTGGAGAGTGGCCACTATACCAGCTTCATCCGCCACCACAAGGACCAGTGGTTCAAGTGTGATGATGCCGTCATCACTAAGGCCAGTATTAAGGATGTACTGGACAGTGAAGGGTATTTACTGTTCTATCACAAACAGGTGCTGGAACATGAGTCAGAAAAAGTGAAAGAAATGAACACACAAGCCTACTGAAGTGACACACAGACCTACCTGCAATGGAAGATGACGACACCAATACTACAACTGGCATCGAGATCTAAAGGACCTACTTGACCATGGCCCATGGGCCTGACAGAGTAAGAATTGAACAGTACCCAGTGTCCAAAAGGTCCTGATTGGAAGAGAAATAGAAGGGGAGGGAGAAGAGGCTCTAGTCTAAACAGTTGATGAAAGGGAAATTAAATGGTAGAAACACTCTGGGTAAGGAAGGCAGGAGCAGGAAAATGCTGACACTGGTACATATCCTATATTCCTCCAAAAGATTGTGTGGGAAAGTGTGGGGGGGAGGGGGGTGGTGGGGGGGTGTGCCCTTGTAACCGTAAAACATCTTTCTCCATGGGTGTTTCAGCTTCAATTGACCAATCACATAACAGTTATATGTTTGGGGGGAAAAAGAAAAGTTTCTAAAAAATGTAGCCCATTACATATATGGGTATGAAAGCAGAAAAGTGGAGGAGGCAGGGATATCATTGACAAACACCTTTGCCAGTTTCTTTGTATTCGTGATTTTTTGTGCTATTAAATGCAGTATTAAAACAAGAAAAGCCCACCTGGGCTAGTGAAAGGAGAGGAAATAAGGGGGCTTGTATAAGGGGAGCACTCGCTCCAAAAGTAGAGAAGACAAGAAATGCTGTAAGATAAGCAACCAACGCAGACAGGCCTCAGCTAAGAGTATAGTGTGTGTGTTAAAAAAAAAAAAAAAAAAAAAAAAAAAAGCTGTGTGATATACTTGAGCAAATCAATGAACCTCTTTGCGATTGTTTTATCATCTGTAAAATGCAGATAATTCCTACCTTAAAGGGTTATTGTTAAAGATTAAATGATATAAAAATGTGTCAAAGTATAAAGTAAAAGGCTTGGAACTTTGTAGGGACTCAGTAAACGTTTGTTGGATCCAAACCTGAAACTTCTTTGGACCAGGCCCCGAATGCATCAGAGGTGGGGGTCAGTCCCGCCTGAGACCCCTGGACAGAAGGGACACACATCATGTCATATGCAGTCACACACACATTCTCCACAACTCCCTCCCCAATGCTGTCTATTTAGAGTACCAAGGCAATGAACTCCACTTTTGTCCCTTGTGTGCAGGGCATCACAGTGGGTGCCACCTGGGATTGGGGGTGGAAAGAACCATAGCTGTCCCATAAGATCATTATTCTGTCCTTATGGAGGACAGTCGTGTTGCTTTCATGATTCAGATCCCAGTGATGGGACTCTCATGGCCAGTAGGCTGCCAGGCTTGCACATGAGGGAATTTGGTGGTCTTCGTCTTCTAAAAACATTATGGGTTCAGTTGCTATGTTTACTCACAGGCACAGATCAGTAGAAAGACTGTTTTCCAAAGTTCACTGGCCCATCAGCCCAGGGATATTGATAGAATGGCTTGTTGGCCCCTTCCCTGATACTGACAGAGGGCAGAGCAGCCTGCAGAGAGCTGAACTGAAACAGGTGGGATGAACCCAGGGTGGAGTAAGCACTATGAGTCCTTCTCTCATCAGTGTCAGGTAGAAAAGTAATTATTACCTAGAGAATCCTGGAGGGAAATTAAACGTGTATCAGATCCATGGGGCTTGGATCCACTGGCTCTGGTAAAAGGCTGGGCTCCCCATTGCTTCCCAAGTCTACTTCATGGTCCACTCATTTGGAAATACATGTTTATTTACGTGGCTGTGGGTGCATCACAACTAGCTCATAGGCATTTTTAGGACAAGAGTTATGTCTCCTCTTGTACCTTGGGATGCATTCTCATTCCCTTGACTCCTGTCACATGGTAAGTAGGTATTCAAAACATTTACTGAATGAATGAATGGATGGATGAGTTAATGAATCAATACACCTTCCTTTCATAACCAAGATTTCATTAACACCTAGGGCTCATAATTTTCAGGAAAAAATGTAAAAAGTTGTTATTTTTGGTGTCTTGTAGGATGGGAGAGATCAAGAGATGGGTGACTTTGGATGGCACTTGGCAACTTCGTGCAGGGTGTCTGACTACCTTTTGGGAAGGGTCTGGTATCCCTACCTGGAAGGACACAGCCATGTCCTCATTCTTCATCTCTGCCAGGGGAAGAGTCCAGGCAGGCCTGTGCCACCAGATCCTGACTGCTTGCACAGAAAGTGACCTTTAAAATTTTCAAACATTTTTATTTGGGAATCATTTCAAACTTACAGAAAAGTTATAAAAAATAGTATAAAGAGCATCGGTATGCTCTTTACCAGATTTACCCATTGTGAAATTTTACCTCATTTGTATTATCATTTGCACATGTGCACTCTTATAAATGGGGGTGTGTATATTTTTGAACCATATGAAGATAATTGCATATATCATGGCCCTTCACACCTAAATACGTCAGTGTACATTTCCTAAGAATAGGCATATTCCCCACATCACTACAGTAGAACTGCAGAAAATTTAACATTGATACGATACGTTAATCTACCATTTGTATTCCAACTTTGTCTGTTGACCCAGTAATGTCCTTTATAGCATTTTCCCACTCTATTGCAGAATCTGGCCTAGGGTGAAGTATTGCATTTAGTTGTCATATCTCTTTAAGCCTCCTTTAATCTGGAACATTTCCACAACCTTTCTTCATCTTGTATGGCATTCACATTTTTAATAGCACATTCCTCATTTTGGGTTTGTCTGACACAGGAAACCCTTTTAAATACCCTGCACTCAACGATAGTTCTAAGAGGAACTCACTGAGAGTTATGAATGGCACGAGATTGCTGAACCTGACCTCTCTGTCTCCGCTGGTGGAAGGCACAGACCGCCAGGGGGAGCAGCTGTGCCGGGCACTTCCTAATTGAACCTCACACCTCTATCTGGAAAACAGCATTGTCCCTTAGCAACAGGGCAACCATTCAAGGCCAGCCCTATGCCCCTACCAGTCACTAACCCCCGAACTGAGCAATGGAATGTAACAGCAGCCAGTGCCTGCCTTCAGATCATACCATCGTGGAACCCAAGGCATCATGTATTCAGCAGGTATGTGTTAACCTTAAACTCAAACTGAGATCCAGGCATGTTTGAGAATGTCTGGCACATGGTCAGGCACCTCTACGATTAGGGCCTTTAGGGGTATCAGGAAGTAGCACCCTTGGCACCTTCTTCAACATTCCGATGGTGAGCACAAGTACAGCAGTGGCAGGGGTGGGGAGGGAAGGGGTAACTAGTTCTTAAACAGCTTCATGGTCAGACTATACAAAGATAGGGGCCCAGAATAAGTAAGAAAGAACATGGGAGATGGTGAAAATGGATTGGTTTGTAACCTACTGGAGACTTGCAGACACAATTGGGTTATTTTTCATGTGGGCTGGAGTTCCTAGATGAGCAAATGGGGCAAGAACCGGTGAAATTTAAGCTAATTTTTTTCTTTTTTTTTGAGACAGAGTCTTGCTCTGTCGCCCAGGCTGGAGCGCAGTTCAATGGCGTGATCTCGGCTCACTGCAACCTCCACCTCCTGGGTTCAAGCAATTCTCCTGCCTCAGCCTACTAAGTAGCTGGGATTACAGGCGCCTACCACCATGCCCAGCTAATTTTTGGTATTTTTAGTAGAGACAGAGTTTTGCCGTGTTGGCCAGGCTGGTCTCGAACTCCTGACTTCAGGTGATCCACCTGCCTTGGCCTCCCAAAGTGCTGGGATTACAGGCTTGAGCCACTGCGCCAAGCTAAGTTAATTCTTTAACAGAGACTTCATTTACATCCACATACTGTTAGGACTGGGAGACTTGGTTCGTATGTAGATTTGTGATCTGGATTCAGAAGAGCACAGGTGAAATATGGGTGCTCACAACTGGGAGCATCAACCACCCATAGAGTTCAGAACCATGTACCAAACAATGAGATACTGCCCTGTCACCCATTACACATTCCTTCCCACAATTTCGTGGCATAATTTGGTTAGAAATCCAGGGCCCTGCCATTTACCATTTCCTGGAGTAGCCAGATGCTAAAACTGACTCTGGCCTACAGGTCACATTGGTAACTGTCTCTCTTATTCACTGTCTACAGGGAATTCTGATCAGGGACGCCATCAACCAAAAGGCCTTTTTCAAATCAAGAAACAGAATGGCCCCCATGCAACTCTTACTTTCAAAATGCAGTAGACCTGGTGCCAGAAGCCTGTGTTTCCTCCAAATGTATGTCTCACACCCAGAAATGAAGGCCCAGATCCTCTGAAAGTATGTAGCCCAGCACTCACCACAGTGCGTCATTACACACTTGCTCTGCAGGTGACCCAGTGTCATTTTTAAACTCTTGTATTGAAGTATATCAGATAAACAGGAAAAGTACACATATCATATATAACTTGATGAATTTCTACAAAGTAAACATATCCCTGTAAACAGCATCCAGATCAAGAAACAAAACACTCCCCAGAACTCAAAGACACCTATCCTGACTTCTTTCACTGTAGATTAGTGTTGTCTGTCTTTAGATCTTCTCTAAATGCAGTTGTTCAGCGTGTACTCTTTTATGTCTGGCTTCTTTTGTTCGATAGTCATTTTATGAACTTCAGACCTCGAGTCTTAAAAATTTATTAATTTTAAAAATTTTTTTAAAGAAAAAGAGGAGAGAGTGGGCTGGCCTCTGTGAAATGAGATCAGCCTGAAGTCTTTTTGTCAAGAAAAATTAGGAGGAACTTCATTATTTCTGTCTAATGAACTAAGGATAGGAATCCCTACTCGTCTTTGTGATTTATTTGTTTGTTTATTTATTCATTTATTCATTTTCTTTTGAGATGGGGTCTCACTCTGCTACCCAGGCTAGAGTGCAATGGTGTAATCATGGCTCACTGCAGCGTCGACCTCCTGAGCTCAAACAATCCTCCCACCTCGGCCTCCTGATACTGAATCAATTCAGAGGGACTCAGGCCATTGCAAAGTTGTGTCTTTGCCTTGAGAATGTCTATAATCTCACTCAGGTACAAGAAAGTGTCTTAAGAGTGTCTGTAATATCACTCAGGTAAAAGAAAATGGTGGATGGAAAATAACCTTCCAAAGAAGCTTGGGTTAATTTAAGCACCCAAGAAATGTTAATCTTGGGCAACACTTCAGCCTTGTTCCAGTAGCTCCTGAGTACAATATTCTGGCAATTTCTCAAACTTTAATATGCATCAGAGGTCCTCATGTACCAGCAGAGCTCATTAACACACAGATTGCTGGGTCTCACCCCCAGAGTTTCTGGTTCAGTAGATCTGGGATGGGGGCTTGAGAATTTGCATTTCTAACACATCCCCAGGTGATGCCCATACTCCTGGTTCTGGGACCACACTTTGAGAACCGCTGATCTATTCGTTATCACACCTTCCTGGAGTCCAAGGAGTCTATGAAGATGGCCCAGGGAGCGCCTTGGAGAGCACTTCAGGGAGCAAGGAGAGTAAGTTGGTGAGATCAGAACTCTCAACTCCACTTCAACCAGAGAAGCTCTCCTCTTGTTTGGTATTTGGGGGGATTCCAGGTAATACTTGCAGAAAGGGTTCTGCTACTAAAATATTTTAAAGTTGAAACTCACTGTGGTAAGAAATTTTAGACCCCAGGGGAATGATATACTTAAACGACATGGTGGTGTGTCTGGAAAGTAATCCAGCCTGCTACAGAAGCCTGGCCTCATGTGTGCTCACAATCTAGATGGTCCTGAGGGGAGACTTAATTTCTTTAGAACTTAAAGAAGTGGATATTTATGAGGATGGAAATGATAAGGAAGAATGCTTAATTATAAAAAGGTGCCAAATTGTGTGTATAAAACATGGTTTCTTCTGGCAACACAGCACACTAAGATGATATGACTAGTGCCTCGTTCCCAATACAAACATAGACTAACACTAGATCAACTAGAACAAAAATTTACATTTCTAGCTGAGCTTTAAAAAAATAAAAAGCAAAATCTGTAGGGAA